GACGGTTTCAAGCCGAGGAATGTGATATTCGTGATTAGGAGGTCAAACTACCCCTAGGTACAAGTTTTCAGCGGATTTCGTGATCTAGGGTACTTTGGCGCCGGCGCCTGTGGCGCGGGCGCCAGGCGGTTTCGTGAGGAGCGAATACGATTTAGGGTTCTTGGCGCCGACGCCTGTGGCGCAGGAGCCAGACCGTTTCACACGTAGAAAAGCCGATCAAAATCGGCCTGTCGGAAAACGGAGGTAGTAGTAGTTGAATAGTACCGATTTCTTCAGTTTTCTTCGAACTTCCAAGGGACAATATCCTATTTTCTTCCAGGTTGTTATGCCGTTTCACCGTGGTAGTGAATGTTTTAGCCGGCTGTTCTAACTCTTCTTGTTTTTCAGGCTTCTGCAGTCAGTTTATGCGACTCATAATACTAAGATAAATACCAAGGTAGTAAATGACCCAACAGTGAAGAAAAAAAAGCAGAAAAAACCGCCGGAAATGTCCTCATATAGAACCCCATCCGAACTGAGGTTGTACGTGCATAAGGCGAAAAGAGGCCGTGGTCGCACGAGTTCTCACTTGTTGGTATCAGCTGTTTTCCCTTATCACCTCACTCTCACCATTCGAAGTGGAGAGGGTTAGTAGCAGAACAACCGCAATCAGGCAACCATTACATATGAACGGTGGGCGGTGGAAGGGGAAGGGGGGGGGGGTTGGGCCAATGATAAGAACGATGGTATCGTGGGCCTCCTCACTCGTTTTTGCGCCGCAAAAAGGTGTAATCGCTGCCTCTGCGAACCTGGCTACCTGCTCACGAAGGGAGAGGGAAATCTCCAACTGGACGCGCACACTGCCTTCTGGCCTGTATTTAAGCAGAAACAGTAGCCCATCTCGCACACGATTGACTTATTATGAGCATCTTTTGTACATTTATTCGTTTAATTTCACCTCAACACTCCTTCACTAAACCCACCTCGGCACTATTCAACTATTACTACCCCAATTTTCCGAAAACAGGCCGGATCTTGATCGACTTTTTTCTACGGGGGCAGATTTGGCTGAAAGTTGGGTTCTAGGGGTAATTCGACCTCCTGAACACGAATATCACATCCGCTTGAAACCGCCTGGCGCCCGCGCCACAGGCGCCGGGTTCAGGGTACCTTGAACCATGAGTCAGGTCACCACCATCATCACCGAACTACCCTGTGGGCAAAGCAACAATTTGTTTTG